AAGCTTTTTAAATTCTTTTAAACCTTTCAATATAATTAAGACATAAAAACCACAGGGGGCAACCTTCTTCCAAATATTTTCAAAGGATGTCTTATACTTCATTCTATATCCTGAGTACCTAATCAGTGTGAACATCTAATAGTACTATGTTACTCTTGCGGGTTAATTCCTTGTTGGATTTCATGACTGTTGACTTGCTTGGGCTTTCTAGTAAGTCTTCCCTTGTGAATTTCATACAGAAGTCCCTGCAATTATTTGGCACATTTGGGAGGGATAGCTTTATTCAGAAACTAGCAAACTGTTAAACTCTAAAGGGTGCTGAGCCTTAGCTACTTCTCCCATTTAGCATGAGGAGGAACAGGAACAGAATGCCTAGAGCAGAATGCTGCTGCTGGATTTGGGGCCCCTGGAGGGACAGTGCCCTCAGGCTAAGTTTAACTATCCACCTGATGAGATGCTTGGCCCCCAGCACATCTGGATGAGGAGTGAACAACTGGATAGGTATCCCCTGATGTGCAGGCCTTGCATATAGATAACTAGTTTGGAATTCTACTTTTCTTCCAGATACCCAGAGCCTATTTCTGGAGATAACTATTTTCAAGATATTCTTCATGGGGACTCAAATGCATCACTGAAGTCCTGAATTTAAAAAAAAATCTTTCTTTTTCTTTTCATTCTTTATCTCTTTCTTCCTTTTTTTGGTTATTGTTGGGATATAGCTAGATTACTTTTTAAATTGTAGTCAGTTTTTTAACCCTTTTTAAAGGATTTAGATATGCTGCTTTAATTTTTGCAGCACAAAAATATTTCTAATCCTGCTTCAATTATGAAATTTCACATTGTAATTGAAAGAGATGAACTGTGATAATAGGAGTATATTATGCTTACTAATGGGAATTCTTGCAAAAGTGTTATCTCCCAGTCTGCCGTTTGTGGAGATTATTTTAAGTCCTCACTCACGCTGGCTTTCCTTTCTGCCTTGTTTATATTCTCAGAGTATAAAAATACAGTAGTCAGAAAGCTGCTCTCAGGGAGTCTGCATTTAGTGCTTGTCAGAGGAATCCTCTCTAAATGGACTCTGGTATCATTTTAGCACTCATATTGTTTGCCGAAATTCGAGCTTCCTGGAGAAATTAGAGCAGTTAATTTAATATCATGAAACATTTTGGGGCTTCTTGGCTTATTCAGAGACAGTGGAGTATAAATCAAATTGAGTATTCTGTGTTAAGTAAAGGACAATAAAAGTGGCCTCCAAAAAAATAGCCAGCCTTCCCGCAATCCGTTGCCTTCCCATTCTCCGTCTTCATCCTGGACCCATAGAAATCTTGTTGTATTCCAAGTTTCCTTCCCAAGGGCTCCCTGGTAGAGGTCTGTGTCTCAGAATGACAAGGAAGCAGGGAAGGTGCTTAGCCATGTACGGGCACAGCAGGCATGCTCAGTCCTTATTCACTGTCGTGACGATATGGCTTAATATTCCATGCAGCTTGGGCTCAGCCCTGACACCTTTCCCTCGAGGTACTCATTCTGCAATCATTGGTGACCATCTGTGAAGTGGCTGGCACTGTGCTGGGCACTGAGGTAAATGACGTTGTGTGATAAGAAGCAGAGTCAGCAACTGTGGGAAATACACTTCTTATGCCCAGGAAAAATTGAAAGAGAGCTGTGTCCTCTGACTGCTGAGTTCTCTCTGCTCACATTTCCAAAGTCCGTTTTGCAGACGCCTCCCGAGTGATGGTGTGCATGTTGCAGGGTAGGCAATGGTCTTTGTTGATTTGTTTTTGAGAGGGCCTTTGAACGAGGCCTTCCAAAGGGACGATATGGACCTTTGACCTGAGAGCTTAGAATACACATCAGTGGCCTCCGGTCACATCAACCCCGAGAAGCAAACTGCGAAGTCAAATGTTTTGGCCTCAGCTTCAGAAGGCTCTCTGTGTGTTTAGTGACGCTCCACTCCACCATCCTCAAAGAAATCCAGGGCTTGTGTTTGTTTCACCTCCCTTCTCCTGTGTGTCAGGACTAACTTTTATGTCACTGAGGTGTCATTTTGCAAAGAAAAAGAAACCCGTCTGAACCAAGTGTGTATTTACTTTGTTTTAGAGACCTAGTGTATTTGCATGAAATATCAGGAATGCTCATGGATGATTAATTGGGCTTTTTACAAATACGCTGATGCTGGGTGCCATGGAGATATAAGCGCTGGGAAGTGGAGTAACTGCTGTGGTTTTTGTTTACTTTATGGGACTCCCATAGGTGTTATACCCTTGCAGACCCTGGTAATGAATGGGGCATCTTGAGAACGGCTCCTTGACCATCACGGCTGGATACCATGTCTGTTTCATTTATCTGTGGTTAGAACAGAAGAAGACAATCTCAGTTATAATAAACGTCTTCTAGAAAAGCACACTTATGCATAAATATTTTAAATGTTGGTGTTTTGTGTTTTAAAATAGTCTATAAAACACACCCACAGAGATGCTTATAATGAAGTTCAGTTTTCCCCATTGCAAATAAACTAGATGTCAACTCGTGCCACCTACTGAAAATATTTAAACATCATGTAATTAGTAACATATTAGATGTCTCTGCTCTTAGCCTGAAAATGATCAGAGCCCTCTTGAAGACTCTTGTCCTCACCACTTCAGTTTGCTGAGTAGCAGGACTGTGATGAGATATTGAGTAAGGTGTGTTTTGTCTTTTTAAAAAATCTTTTGGCGATCTTTCCTCACCACATACTTTTTAATACTCTTTCTACCACTTTGGTTTTTTTCTCTTCTTTCTATGGCATTCTCCTTTTTCCTGCAGATTCCTTTCTTTCCATGTAAAATTCTGTACGTTTAGAGTCTCCTGTTTGATTTCTGGTGCTCTCAAAAAGAAAAGGAATAGAAAACACTTCACAAATCTAGTAAATAAATAATGTACTAATAGCAAGGACCTCTATAAAATGTCTGCATGAAAACCGATGCACCACAAACTGCCATCTCTACACACCCCAGACTTCCCAATATGATGATTTAGATCCCTCTCTACTTAGGCAGGTGGTGCCATTTTGCCGAATTCAGCATGTTCATTATACAGTTTCTTGGACCCAGAAGCCAACTCCACTGCATTTCTGCTTGGTAAGGTTTGGCGGCCTTGGCGTGGGGCAGGGGTTGTTGATTCATTAGCCTTTAAGCCGATGATAAATCTAGAAGCTGGGCAGCAGGACTAGACTGCCTTCATAGAACCTCTGCAGGGAATCAGCGGTCCCGACACTGCAAGAAATCTATGAAAAAGAGGCTCAGCAAACTCATGTGAAGAAAGGCTCCAGAAGAATTAGGGATAGAGAGTACGTGATGAGACTCTGTGTGAGTGGGCATCAGCTAGAACTTTGAATGCTAGATACAGAACTCGCCAACCGAAAATGTGCTTCTGCTTCTCAAGATGCCCGTGGATTGTTTATCTTTTTAATTCTAAATATCTAAATCTTCTATCATGAGCATCTATTGAGATGATGTATTAATAATTCCCCATAATATCGTGACAGAGCCTGTCTGTCGTAACCCACAGCATCACTCTCATTGTGCTTCATTTGTGTGTATTTATGCAATTCTATATCTGTTTACTTTTCCAAAGAGAATAGTATTTTAATTTTAATTCTGCCTTCCTTCGGTGGAAAATAAAGCCCTGGGAGAGGGTTCCCAGAGGTGTCTTTGACACGCCTTTTGTGAAGAGTTGTCCTGAGTTTAGGTCAAGTTACAAATGAAAATTCCAACACCAGGAAATCCCTCTACCTGAGAGGTGGAGAAAATTCAGAAAGCCTAGAGGCTCTTTAGTACACCCCCACTTCTTTCCACCTGCCCCGCAGCCCCAAAGACCATGGCGTGCCCCATGAACAAAGTACAACAATCTGGTGTCAATAACTCATTCCTGTATAAGACCTTTTTTTTGTTGTTTTTAAGGGTTTTTTTAGGAATAAAATGGGTCATGTATATATGATATTTAAGTTGGGGTGTGATTATGGTTAATATCCTGACTTACACATCATATATATATTTTGATTTAGAAAAAAAAAGGTATCTCTGCATTATCCCCCAACTGAAATAGCTCAGTCTCCAACTAGAATGTGTATTAGTCAAGGCATCTTTTTAAGAGAAATTATTTTCATGCTCACAGGATGGAAAGGGAAATAAAAGAGGAGTCCTGAATTAGGTGTATTTAATTCTCCCCAATTTAAATCGAAGTGGTACATCTTTAAGGCAATAACAATATTCCTTTTTCCCCCCTTCATGAATGCTTCCATCAGTGAATTTCTTTAATGCTGATGATGGTTGGTGCAGTTTGAGGGAATCTGTATTTAGTCAGAAAATGCTTCAATAGAATGACCTACCAGATGGGCCCCGTAACAATGCACGGAGGCATCAAACCACCACAGACATTTGGTGCTTAGAATAATAAAACGACTATAAAATTAGATTAGTTGAGTCTAATTTGGAATTGGTATATTCCCCATGCACCCTTGCCGCTCTTGGGCAGATAAAGCCTTGAGATTTAGCACTGTGTCAGAGCAGAAGACTGCAACTTCCAGTAAAAGGGAGACGAGGGAACGGGAGAGAGGAAAAAAGCATTCTGGGAGGTCGCAGAGGGCAGAGCAGTGACCTCCAATGATTTACAGGCCTTTAGCTTAATGAAATTGTTTCAGTGACATGACGGTAAGAGCTCGTAATGGATTGGATGCCCTAATGTAATGAAATTACTCCCTTCTGCCTAAAAAAAAAAAAAATGCGCAATTAATATTTACTGAGACCTGACAGCCTTTTGGTGCGCTCGTCTGTGTAGTTCCCTCAGACAGTCAGAGAGGAGAGACGGAGCAGCGTGGCAGACAGGCTGGCTCTGCACGAGCTCCTGGCGGGGACAAGCAGCGCCTGCAAGGGGGTGGAGGGACAGGCGCTCGGGTGGCCCGGGCCGCCGGCCCCTCACGTTGCCCCCGCTCAGCCTTCACGCTCTCCCCTGCTTTTCCACAGGCAACTGGACAACAACCACATCAGCTGCATTGAAGATGGAGCCTTCCGAGCGCTGCGCGATTTGGAGATCCTGTGAGTTGATTTTGCGATCGCTGCCTTGTGTGTGCGTGTGCGTGTGTGTGTGGTGTCTGTGTGGGGAGGAGAGAAGGGGAGAGTGTGTACAGAAGGGTCTGTGTGGATGCATTTCTGGTGTTCTGCTGCAGTGCTATTAAAATTGGGAACCAGGAGATCCCTCCGGCTCACCTTGGCCAAAGTGTTTGCAGGCAGCCAAGTGTGATTTCTCACCTCCCACAAACTGGGGTTCCTGCTAATTAAGTCTCAATTGAGTCTTTCTCCCCCAGTGCTCCCGCAGTATTTGTGGCTGGGAGAGACAGATGGGCTGGAGCAGGACCCCACCACCACCAGGAGCCTGCCACAGCATCAGGGACACTGTGTTTGGGTACTGGGATACCCGGAGGAGACAGGGTCCAGGGTTGGGGCCAGAGAGAGAGAGAGGGGTTAGTGCCAGGAGGTCACCTGGAATTACCTGAATCAGAAAGGGACTTTGGCACAGGGCAGGGGAATACCACACAGCCTGGGAAAGCCCAGTCATTGCTATTGCTCCTGGTATCTCATCTCAGGCATCAATTCAAACTTTAAACAGTAACTGACCTTAAAGGGGCCAGGGGTCATGAGGGGTAATGCGGGGAGATGAGAGGAGGCAGCCCCTTCCCCATTACCCCACCCTATGAGGTCTAGAAAGAATGTGTAGCTGCCTCTCTGAGTTCTGGATTTTCAGATGAGTCTAACTAAGAAAACCTGACTGCCAGGAGGAAAGTCAGCTGGGAGTCATCTTGGGGTCATTCAAACTAAAGTTGAATTGTGTAAGACAACATTTTGGTTATTCTTACCAAAGCTATACTTCTAGCTGTCCCTGATTTAGAGAAACCTAGAGAGGAAGGCAGTACAACACAGAAGAACTTGTGTCACTTGTGGTTGAGTCCAGATTCTGCCACTGATTAGTCGTGTGACCTTGGGCAAGTCTTTTCTGCTCTGAGAGCCTCAGTTTTCTCATTTTTAAAATGAAAGGGTTGGATGCTCCGTCTTGGGAGTGACTTCCCTTTTCCAAATTCTGTAGCTGCTTGGTTCTAAAAATAATTCTGAGGTATGGTTTTAGCCAGTGACTGATAGCAGAGCGGGGTTTCTTGAGCATCTTCCTAAAAATAAAAAACTACACAGTCACAGGTGACCTATCTCTGATTGCAGAAGAATGAATGAATGCCAAATAAATGAGTGAGTGAATATTTTAAAGCATTCCTTTGTATGTGAAGGAAAGAGCGAAAGGTCTTCCTTCTGCCTTCCTCTTCACCTGGCCCCGCAGACACTAGCAATGGGTTGGAGAGAGCCTCTCCACGTTGTTTGAGAGGAAGGTGATTCCAAGAGGAATCACGGGAAATAAAAGAGAATGCTGATGCTGCAAGCTGCTTGAAATCAGATGAAAGCCGAGAATTCTCAGTCCAGAAAAGACAGGACCCACAGCCAGGGAGGTCAGGTTGTCATTTCTGAGATAGATTGTCTCTCCTCACCCAAACTCTGACCCCCGGAACCAGCAACAAACGCCTGTCTGCAAGAGAGAGGATGCCAGCCCAAATTTAGTAACCTAGAACTCCTCTTATCGGGAGGCTGGGGCTGAGAAGGGTAGACAGGATTTTCCCTGCCTACAAAATAGCATTTGTAGAAAGGGCTGCTCAGAGCACATCACCTTTTTCCTCCCTTGACAGAGAGAATGAGAAAGATAAGAACATTCCTTGGGACGAGACCAGGAAATGGAAGTCACCAGCTGCCACAAAACAGCTGTGACAACCTGACAGCCCTCATGTTCGTTCTCTGTGCTAGGAATGCTGTTGTCTCACCTCACCAGGAAGGCGGTCTGAGAGAGAAGAGAGGGCTTTGCAGCCTGACACACCTGGGTGGGGCTTGGGTCAAGTGTCTTAATCTCTCTGAGTCTATCTCCTCAACTTTTAAAAACAGAGTGTATGTACTACATCAGAGGGGCTCTCATAAGCACCATCCCTTCTACTCTCCTAACTTCTGCCTCTATAGGTGTATATAGAGGTGCACCCTCACCCCCATCAAGCCTTTGCCCATGACAGATTTAGACAGCTCTCTACTCAGATACCAAAAAAAAAAAAAAAAAAATTGGTATCCAGGTGCACCAGGTGTCTCCGAGTTTAAGCTTTAAAAACCTGTGATTGAAAGAAAAAAAAAAAGTTCTCATTCCCTACCATTGCAAAGAGTCTGTAGGATCTGATTAGTTTATCTTCTCAATTCCAAACAAAGCCAGATCAATAGCTTTGTTTTAAAGACACTCTCATTTGGCTTCACATGGCTAAGTACTTAAAATTAATCATAATCAGTTATTCCGTGGGTTTTTAATTTCCAGCAGAGGCACATGGCTTTGAAACCATCCATCTTAATGGTGAGCCATTCTGAAATTGGCTGGAGCTGACATCTCCATTTAAAGAACCTCCCCTCCCCACCCCTAGACCTTCCAAATCTCATCCACACATTGACATTTTATAATGCTTCTCTGTAATCACAATTTAGGCACCATAAAGAATCTTGGCAATGAAATAATAAATAGGAACTCAGTGACAGTATCACACATTAGCTTGATAAAGTTCTCAGAGTGAAAGAGGAGAGTTCAAAACATCCTATTCCCAGAAAGAGCATTCTAAAATATCTAAAGCTTAAAAGTCTACAAACGAAGAAGACAAAATGTGGCCAGGTGCAGTGGCTCACGCCTATAATCCCAGCACTTTGGGAGGCCAAGGCAGGTGGATCACGAGGTCAAGAGCTCGAGACCATCCTGGTCAACAAGGTGAAACCCCGTCTCTACTAAAAATACAAAAATTAGTCAGGTATGGTGGCATGCGCCTGTAGTTCCAGCTACTTGGGAGGCTGAGACAGGAGAATTGCTTGAACCCAGGAGGCGGAGGTTGCGGTGAGCCAAGATCGTGCCATTGCACTCCAGCCTGGGTAACAAGAGCGAAACTCCATCTCAAAAAAAAAAAAAGACAAAATCTAATGTTTCGGGTGTGTTTTCTCTGACATCAGGCAGCACGAAGTAGAAATCAAGAAAAGACACATTAGTTGTCCCAGAAATCTCTCAAATTAACTTAAGGAAAGTTTATGGATGTCAGTTGCTAGTAGAAGTATTTTACATGCAATAACCCTGTTATTCCATTTTTTCTGTGGATGGAAATACCATAAAACTTCTTTCCATCGAGGCTGAGGTCAGTTTCACCAGTTACATTGAATGAGAACTTCAGCAGTGAGCCCGAGAGGGAACCACTGACTGGGGAGAAATGAACTGGTTCAAGGTTGGGAAAGACTGATATCTGCCACTTCAACCTCATTTTTGACTCATTCCCAATGGGGAATGCCCAGCACAGAGTATGATGGACAGGGAAAGGAGCCATCCCCTCCCATTTCCAGGAAGTAAGAAGAAAAGCTCAGAATGGGGGGTGAAACTTCTCATGCCCTCCATGCCACTGCAGGGGAGGAATAATGAGGAAAATAAAAATAACTAGCAGTTACTCAAGCCCAGCAATACAACCAGTGCTTTTACATGGGCTAGCTTTTGCCATCCTCACAATCGCTCCATAGAGCTACTGTTACCATCACCCTGCTTTTACAAAAAAGTAGCCCATCTCAGAGAAGCCAAGTAACTGCTTACCTAATTAGCAGGCAGAACCAGTGTGATTAACCATTCTACCAAGCTGCCTTTTGGATGCATGTTGCCAAAACTGTCATGGTGTTTGGCTGCCCTGAGGCATGCCGGGTATGTGCTGCAGGGTGGTGTGAACTGGCATCCAAGAACTGATCGAGGCAAACTAGCAATGACTCACAATCCTGCTGGGGAGAAGGTCGGAGCCTTTCACAGGCTTGTGAAATTGGCCCTGTCATTCCTTTTACCCGGTTCACGGGTGCTCACAAAGTTGAAGGTAAAATCAAACTTGCAGGAGAAAGGAACTCATCCTGCTTCTTCACTGTTAAACTTGTAGTCCCAGAGATGATGTATTCCCACTCACGGCCATTGCCGTCGACTTTGGCACTCAACAGTTTGGGAGCTCCGCTTTCCAGACCTGTCTCCCCGCTAAGGAAAATATAGCCTCAACTTTGTGGCATTTAAGGTTCTTAATTGTGGGACTGAGCCTCTGTGAGTCAGAACCCCTGCTGTTACTCAGCTCATTGCCCTTTAACTTCCACCTGTTCTATACTTTTGGCAATTCGCATACAACACTAGGTTTTCTCAAAGTAAGTCATGCTTATACTGCAGTTGAATATGCCAAGAATGAATTCCTGGCTCTGTGTGGTCAGGAAGCACAGTGGTGGTGCTCTGAGCCATGGGTTTCCAGCTCATACCAACCAGGCTGAGGACGGCCAGGCATTTTACCAGGTGGAGTGGCACCTCCATGCCCAACATGCCATCATGGTTCAGGAAAAAAAGTGCTTAACTCTAATGGAAAAAAGTAGGGACAAATTAAACAAAAATGAGAAAACCTCATTAACAAAATATATTGTCATTAATTGTTTTTCAGTAGTATTATAGGAGAATAAAAAATACTTTTGGACATTGTCTCTTGACTAAAGGTAGCAAGTCAGAAGTTCAATAAATATACATTGTCAAAAAATGCCAGACCACAAATAACAGAAACACATCCTGAAAATACACTCATCTCCCAGTTATTGGTCTGCCCTTGCGAAGTCACTGGTGCCAGCTAAATGGCATGGAGATCCCACAGGTTCATAGATAACCAGCATGTGCTGTATTGAAGCCCTCACTCCCATTTATGTCACTTGCCAATTTTGGAAATTCAGTGACATTATTATAGGCTGGCGCTGGTAGAACCTTAGGTGTCTCCAGGATGACCTCTCATTGTCCAGATTAAGACACAGAGAGAAAGCACGGGAGAGAGGCCTGTCCCTCCTGGCATCCTGCATTCCTGCATGCTGAGCACCTTGCCTGGCTCACCCTAGGCCTGGCTTTGGCTGGGAGACTTTCCTGAGGTCAGCAGCAAGTTGATGGT